CAGTGAGAATGATGGAAAGACGGACGAGAATACCAAAAACTACAGTTCAAAAAGCTTTAGAAGACCATCGATTTCATCTTTGCCACATTCAACTCACACTGTTCAGACTCTACAAGAAAGAGATTACCTGGCGAGGGTTAGATTTTGCCGTGAAATGTTGCGAATGCATGAATCAGACCCCAACTTTTTTAATAAAATAATTTGGAGCGATGAATCATCATGCAAACGTGATGGTTATTTTAATTTACATAACCTTCACAGTTGGCAGATAGACAATCCTCACGAAATGAGAGAAGATCGTTCGCAGTACCGGTACAAAATAAATTTATGGTGCGGTATTTTTAATTGTCAGATATTGGGACCTGTGGAAATGCCGCCAACGCTCAACTCTCACAGTTATTTAGAGTACCTTCAGGAGCGGCTTCCAACTCTTTTGGAAGATGTACCCTTAAACCTGCGGCGAAGACTATGGCTGCAAAATGACGGGTGCCCTGCTCACTACGGGCGTGAAGTAAGAGCTCATTTAGACGAAACTTATCCTCGCCGATGGATTGGACGATACGGGCCAATCACGTGGCCCGCTAGATCGCCAGACCTGAATCCATTAGATTTTTTCTACTGGGGCTGTCTTAAGGACAAACTTTATTCACAAACCATTCGGAATTCGGACTAGAGTCTATAACAAGGGCTATATCTATCAATATTTTGTGTGAAAGATGGGTTCACGTGAAATAAGATATACATGAGTTGTTTGAAGAAAAATTTATTAATTTATTGATAAAATATGCTCAAATTGGCGACCTTCTACTCTAATACAAGCTCGGCACCTTTTAAGAAAAGACGCTTTTAGAGATCTTAAACTCAATTGGGTTATCTCAGCAGCAGCTCCATTTATTTGTTCCCGCAAATGCTCTTCGTTTTGAAGGGTTTGTGAATAAAGTTTGTCCTTAAGACAGCCCCAGTAGAAAAAATCTAATGGATTCAGGTCTGGCGATCGAGCGGGCCACGTGATTGGTCCGTATCGTCCAATCCATCGGCGAGGATAAGTTTTGTCTAAATGAGCTCTTACTTCACGCCCGTAGTGAGCAGGGCACCCGTCTTTTTGCAGCCATAGGTCTTCGCCGCAGGTTTAAGGGTACATCTTCTAAAAGAGTTGGAAGCCGCTCCTGAAGGTACTCTAAATAACTGTGAGAGTTGAGCGTTGGCGGCATTTCCACAGGTCCCAATATCTGACAATTAAAAAACCGCACCATAAATTTATTTTGTACCGGTACTGCGAACGATCTTCTCTCATTTCGTGAGGATTGTCTATCTGCCAACTGTGAAGGTTATGTAAATTAAAATAACCATCACGTTTGCATAATGATTCATCGCTCCAAATTATTTTATTAAAAAAGTTGGGGTCTGATTCATGCATTCGCAACATTTCACGGCAAAATCTAACCCTCGCCAGGTAATCTCTTTCTTGTAGAGTCTGAACAGTGTGAGTTGAATGTGGCAAAGATGAAATCGATGGTCTTCTAAAGCTTTTTGAACTGTAGTTTTTGGTATTCTCGTCCGTCTTTCCATCATTCTCACTGAAGTCGATGGACCTAGTTCCACTTCCTCTAACACAACTTCAACATCTACCGTTGCAGGACGTCCTGTTTCGCCGCCACGCCTTCCAGGTATGCGACCTTAAAAAAGTGAAAAATGTAGTTAACATGCAAGCAAACAAGAAAGGCGCAGAAATCACTTACCTTCATATATTTCTCTATGGGTCCGGGAGAATACTTCACGACCCGGATGGCGACGATTGGGGTATCGCTCTGCATAGAGTCTTTGAGCAGCTCTGGCATTACAGCAAGCTTCACCGTAAATTAGGTGAATATCCGCGTGTTCTCTGTCATAGTATTAATCACCCTCATTGCGGAGTGGTGTCGTATGCAAGTCGTTTTTCGAGAGTCGAATCGTATCGCAAATTGCACGTCATTGCCTAAAACTTCCATTCGACTAGTGTATTAAAACGGAAAAACTTGGCAGCACTGTATAGTTTTCGACGATTTTCGACATTTACTTATTTCAGCACGACAGTAAACAATGCCAATGTTGTCGAGTCGTACAATTTAGCCTAATTTACGACTTACGCAATGAGGCTGAATAACACAATGTTCGAAGGGTCCAATTTCACAAAACCACTTTCACTAATTCCGGTAAGTAACACAAAATAATGTCAGGAGCAGGTAATAATGTACCTTTGTACTACTTAGCATGTCATTTGACGGTAACAAGAG